AGCTGGATGCAATAATCGCATGCCATTGTGCATTAGCTTGTTTAGTTTACACTCGAAGTAGATTGGTCCCTCTAAGCAAAATCCCAATTCGTCGGTCCTCCGACGTGATGTCGAGAGTGACCGACTGAAAGGGAACCGTTTTCAACACTGATAATAATATGAAATGTTTCTTAAGAACCAAAAAATCATATCAAAATGATTTCTGAAGAATTACGTGACACTGAAAAGTGGAGTAATGGCTGCTGAAATTCATCTTTGCCATCTCAGGAATAAATAGACTTATTTCATAATAGACTTATTTCAAGAACAGAAATAAATCTTACCCACCCCAAACTTTTAAACAGTAGTGTAAATATTTCAAACACCAATTATTAATATTTAATATTATTAATACTAAACCTTTACCTTTTGTTTTCTAAGATGGTGACTTTTCTGCTGGTGCAATAATGGTGAGAAAAAGAGATTTCAGTTCAGTTTCATTTTTAAGTTTGAGAAAAACCTTAGTGAAGTTGTGTCTGTATGTTTAATAGAGATTGTAGGAAGTATTTTAACACAAAATTACACTCATCATCTCTGAACCATTCACACAGGGTGCTGCTGAAAACGACGCTATGGTTGGTAGTGTTAATCAGTCCGGGACAATTCCTTATCAGGACAACCAGAGAGAGTCCAGCACACAATCAGCAAAGGTATATTACATCAAATATTTACACGATTTCCTCTGTACTTTTATTTTTCTTTTTTTCTTTAATTGTTGTATTAATTAATCTCTGAACAGCCCTCTAAGCCTGGATGGTTCAGTGGCTGGTTCAAGTCTAAGCCTAAAGAAGACCCAAAAGAACAAATCCCAGAACCCAAACCCACCACTAGGGTAAATGCTCTTACATTTCCTATCAAAAAATAACAGTCTAAGGAAGTTTGTGATAGAAAAGATCTAAATCAGAACATGTCATAAACTGCTGTATAAAATAACTATATTCACTAATCATGTGGCGGAAAAGAGGAAAAACTGAAACCCTTGTCAATTATAAAAAATTAACCATTTGTGCCATGGCACCTTTAAACTGCCATATTCTATAGTCAGTATTTCAATAATTGAAATTATTTGGAGAAGTGAGCTATTCAAGTTAATTTTGTCTTGCATGGAATAAGTATCCTTTTTTACACTCATTACATTCATCAAAGTGACTTGAACCTGATAAATTTTCCAAGTTGTAAATACATTTCATCCATACAGTGGTCCTAAAAAGCAATTGGATTACTTATTCACATTATAAAGCAAAAATATCAAAGCAACACTGCAAAAAATGCTTTTCTTACTTAGATTTTTTTTGTCTTGTTTCCAGCTAAAATATCTAAAAATTCTTAAATCAAGAAGGATTTTCTTGACAAGTAAAAATTTCAAACAGAAAACAAGTAAAACAACAATTATTTTGCTTAACCCATTGGCAGATAATTTTGCTTGTTTCAGGCAAAAACTCACTTAGTTTTGACATGTTTTTTCTGAAAACAAGACAATAATTTTTACTTGTCAAGAAAATCCTTCTTGATTTAAGAATTTTTTGATATTTTGGCTGGAAACAAGACAAAAAATCTAAGTAGGAAAAGCATTTTTTGCAGTGAAGTGACAGTTTTCAACCAAAATTGATTTTACAGACATTTAAGGATGGCAGACGTATTCAGATACTTTTTGGGAGCACTATATACTGACAGTATTAATGATGCACCATTTTTCACTGAGCCTCGTTTGCGGTCAAGTAACATTTTTTTTTTTCTGTTTCTTGTTAGGAATCAACAGCCAACTTTCCTTTCCCTTCTCCTCCTCCACTCATCCCAAAGGCATCACAGCCCCAACTCAGTGGGATCAATCCTTTTTCTAGGAGCGCTGGTGAGTAAAGATCATCTGTACGTCTTGCCTGGTTTTGGCATCACTGACTCGAAGCTCTGAGACGGTTACACTGAATGAGTCTGAGCTGACAGAATCAAACTTTTCTTGAATCACTGCACTTTTCGTTCTGTTTGACAACTGTCAATTTTAACATCCAACCCTGATCATACATCTCTTGCAGAATTAGTAAAGAGGGATAAAAAAATGCAGTTTGTTTTGTCTTATTTGAAAATACAAAATAATAACGGGTCAATTTAAAATGTAGTTATTTTGTCTTGTGGACTGTATATAAACATCTGTTATGTGAAATAGCTTAGTTGGGGGATTACTAAATAAAATGCCATTTTAATTTTATTTTTTATTTAAAATTTATTAAAAAATAAAGCCTTTTCAAATTTTATCCACTTAACATATAACATAGTCAATAAAGTTCATTTAATTTTTCTTAGGGTTCTTGAAGTGGAAATATGGAAAACGGTGAATTTTACATTTCTGATTTCTGGGCCTGGAAAAGTAAAGGTTAATAAGATCTTAAAAAGCAAAAAGAAAGTTGTGGAAATTTGTTGGTCAAAAGGTGCTTTTATCTGGAATAATTATGTAATATTTATGTTTGACATCCATATATGGCCAGTATTTTTGCACACGTTAGATATTTTAAAGTTCAAACAAGAGTTTTTTTAACAAGTTTAATATAAGCATAATTTTCTTTCTTTGTTACAGGACAAAAATTGTCTGGGACAATGAGTCCGAATCAAGGGTCCATTTCACAGGTAGAAATCCTTATAAATGCCTATATTTATCATAACTGTCATGCAAATATTCAGGTTAATTGTTTTGTTCATAGGGTCCCTAATGAAGGTTCGTAATTGAGGAATAATCATCAAATGAGGAACTCTGGGATGGACTTTCAGCCTCGTGACTAGTGTTCACATGACCAAGGGATTCCATAGGCACACCCCTTCAGTTCCACTAGAGGAGGTCAGAGGGGCCTATGCATCTTTATATACAGTAACACCTGTGGTTACAGAAATACACTGAGGACATAGAGTTCTTGATATAATCTGTTAAGGGTTTGGTGCCCAGTCTTCTTTGAATGAAGACACTGAACAGCTGAGGCACAGCTCCCCGTGCTGACTCTAGGGATTTGTGTCATTCCCTTTGGGAACGGGGACCAGATGGAAATGGGTGCTGAGCAAAGGTGCTGTGACCTATGGAAACATTAATTTAAGACGTCTCCTCAGCTGGCAATGTCAGTAAATTGTATAACATGTAACACTTCCATCCCTCATCCCACCCCCCCACATGCAAAATTATTGTAATAATTTAAGTGGCTTTCACAATTCAAATGTTTAAGATATGGCGCCGGAGAGTAGTGAAAATGTGGGAAATGTTGTAATTGTACAGGTGGTCCCTTTGGGTCACAGCCTTGATTTATTCCAGAGGAAGAGATATTGAATTAAACATGTTTTATTCAATATCTCTACCAAAAAAAAAATACTTTTTGTTGTAAAAAAAAAATCTAATAAAAAGCAATAGTATTTGTACATGCCAATGTATTTGATTAACAAGTAAAAATATAATTAGTCAACTAAAAATATGCTATGAGCCAACAATTCTTGTTGCATAGCAGAACAGTGGAATTTGACAAGATGTATGCCATCTTCTTTTACCATGAGTGTGCAGATCTGGCAGCAGAGGGACAAATGTTAGCAGAAGTGTGGAACTCTGGGAATTAGGTCTTGTGTTCTATACATACAGAGGGAACAACATGATTGAGTCACTACACACTCTGATGTTTCCAACACCACATTTCACACATAAATCCTGAAAAATACTTTTATTTAGTCTGTGACATTTTAAATTGAAAAAAAAGCATTTTTGTTTATGATGGTAATGACATATTCACAATTATACACCATGTAATTTAATTTAAGTCCAAAAGAAAAGGTAACAGTTTATAATTAATTTAATTCATCATATAACATGTTCCACCAACCCCATCCTCACAACCTCAAAATACAATTACACATTTTCCCCTACTGCATACATTTAGTACCAAAATATAGCACTACCACATAGTAATAGTAACATTATATAGCTTTAACAACATATCTTGTAACTTGAAATAGCACTGCGCATCCGACAGCTCTAAGAGAATTCACAATATTCTTGATCACTTTCTCTGTTTCTCTCGCACACAAAATCTGCCTTGTTTGGCAAGATGCCATCAGCTGCCATTAACATTTTTCAAATGGCTCACCAGTGTGTTTACAGTGTGTTCTTTTACTAGGAATATACACAGTGATTTATTTGAAATCAAAGTTTTTCATTAGTGGTCCCCACAATTCCCTGCAGTTAACACTACTGAAAATAAGTACAAGCCAAATGTTTTTTTTTTTATTCTAGCTATAACTATGTTGTTAAATATGTCTAAATATAACTATGTTGTTAAGGCTGAATTCTGATAGATAGATAGATAGATAGATAGAATAACCCAAGTTTACTTGCTATCCTCCAGTTACTTTAATGCGAAATGGGTAGGTTTAGGTAATGCAAGTCGCAGCGTCAGCATGACTTTGCATGTGTTCTGTAAGCAGGGAATCCTGGGGGAAAGATTTACTGCACTGCCCGCAAACAAAGATTGTGCCCTCTCCATGCTGCTTCTGATGCTTCCTGAGTGCCGCAAGGTGGCTGAATGACATATCGCAGCTTTGGCAGTGATAGGAGCACTTAGCTGCGTGAATACGCTGGTGTCGCACTAGCCGGGACGCCGTGGCGAATGCCACCCCACACTCTGAGCACTTGTGTGGCCGCACTCCGCTGTGAACTGTGATATGTTCAGCGAGGTTGGAGGACTTGGTGAAAGCTTTGGAGCAAATGGAGCAGGTGTAGGGACGCACACCGCTGTGGATTTTCCTGTGCTCTGTCATGCGACTGGCCAGGGCAAATGCTTTCCCGCACTCCGGGCAAACAAAGGGCCTCTCACCCAAATGTGTGCGCTCGTGACGGAGAAGAGACAGGGGTTTGTTGAAGGTTTTGCCACACTGCTTGCAAAGAAACGGCTTGTTGTTGGTGTGCATGTTGCGCTCGTGCTTCCGCAGGTCTGAGGAACGCACAAAATCCTTGCCACATTCCTCACAGATGTACGGCTTCTCTCCGGTGTGCGTTCGGATGTGTTTGCGGAAGTCAGAGGACCAAATGTAGCGTTTCTCACAAAATGGGCATTGGTACGGTCGTTCACCCGTGTGTAGCCGCTTGTGCTGCTGAAGAGTTCCTTGGTGCGAGTAGGCTTTCCCGCACAGGTCACAAACATGTGGTTTAAGACCTTGGTGAGTGTCGATGTGGCTCAACAGATTGCTGGACTTTTTGAAAGCCCAGCTGCAGTACGGGCACTTGTACGGACGGTTTTCCGTGTCTCCCTCCATTCCTCGCTTCTTCATGGCTGCAAAGGCAAAATGATTTTTTAAAACCTGCTTCTGCGAAGAGTTCAGGCTGTTTGCTTCGTTTCCCTCAGCCTCGCATTCATCCCCCACAGTCTCCTGCCGATCTCTTGGAAGCGCTGTCAGTTCACGTGGCGCAGTGATATCCACCTCCTGTTTCACTTTCACATTGGTGATGCTGATCGCTTCCAAGTGCTCATGATTCAGTCGGGAATCAGATCCAGGCTCAGCCTTTACATCAGTTATATCAACTTCTCTCTCCTTTTCATAGGATTGCTCAGAAAATTTATCAGGAAGGTGGCATGTAGCTTGAGTCCTTGAATTCTCTTGGATTCGTAATTTTTTTGTTTTTCTTTCATCGCAACTGGTAGAAGTACTGATGTCCTCTTCACTGGGTAGATTATAACTAATTTTCATGGTGTCAGTAATGTTACTCTCCATAGGCAGATAATGCCTCTTGCTGATGAGAATCTTTCTAATACTTCGTTTTGATATGTAGACATTGTCTGTAAAAGCTGTTGAATTCCACAGGTCATTCATTTGATCCATTGCAGATGATTCCTTGAGTAGAATTTAGTGCATCAACCTTTATTAACAAATTGAAAGGTCTGTGTGATCTATGTTTGCGACTCCTGAAAAAGAAAAAGCATTGGTTCAGTTCTCCGATTTATATTCTTGAGAAATACAGTTAATCTTAATTTTATGAACTATAGACTAATACTTTACACCTCAAAATAAATATTTTACTGAAACATCCTGCTGCCCTACATAGAACACGAGTTTTTGATATAATTCATATCAAGAAGTCAAAATTCACTACAATTCATTATACACCAAATACAATCATTTCTAAGATGCTGGATTTGTGAGTACTGATGGTATAATGAAGCTATTAAGATATCCAGCATAAATTATACTAACTGGAAACCCTCCAGTAGATTCTCTTGGAAGAGTTACACACTCTTTGAGCCTGCAAAGTCTTTATCTCAGCTGTCATAGTGCATAGTAGGGACTTTCAAGAATCATTAAAACATCCCACACACGCAAAGAGTCTCTTACCTTGGCAGCACCAAGTCCACCAATGGTGATTTCAAAGAGTGCAATTAATCCACTTCCTCTTCAGGGTGGACATTTAAGATACCATAGGAGGAGCCAGAACGCAGTTAGACTTGCTTCACGTGGGGGAGTGCAACATCTTTTTAGCAGTGGTCAGCACTTTAGCAAAACCATTTGCTGTCGGGAAAGATCAACTCATTGACACTTTCACTCATGCCAGCTGTGAGGCACATGGGATATTTCCTGGGGAGCACTGCATAAACATGCTGATGCAATTACAACCTACCAGAATTATATTTGCTTTGTTGTTTGTTTTGTAGGCTGTTGCAAAATTATGAAGCAGTCATTCCACTTATTAATCACATGTAGTAAAATGAGCCATCTAGTCCAGCCTATATACGGTATCTCTAATAGCAGGTTCTATGTTTGTTGTTCACAGATCAATTTACACTGCAGCAATTTTTAACCACATTTTCTCATTCGTATAAATGGTATGGCTGTTTTTTTTTTATCTGACTGAGGAGATGTCAATATTCCACATTCCATTCTTTAGTTAATTTAATTAGCATGTAAATATTTCTACTAATTCACTTATTGAGTGAAAGAATTAAGAACAGGAATAACCTGCTTATGTTAGACATAACTGACAACCTGATACCCATCCAGCACATATAGATAAAAAAAAAGTGTCAGAGGAAATATGAGAGGAAGAGAACATACTGTAGATCAGCTAGTACAAGACACCTGTTTGCCGCTTAAGGTTCAATTTACCCCTCAGTGTAAATGCTGATGGTAGGGTATCCTGACATTGAGGCCTACTCTGACCAGAATAAAAATAATTGGTGGATTGTTTTGCAGTGTTTGAAGAAAATGTTAGACATTTTGTCAGCCTTTCTTTATATGCATGTATGTATGCATATAAAAATGCTTGCCAAAACAATCCACCAAGCTTAGTGTTCTTTCTCTACTAATTTAAGAGTTAATGAGAATGCGGTGAGTTACTCTCAACAGTCTGTACATAAATGTAATTTTATGTTGTATGGCACAGTATGATAGATCACATAGGAGAGAATGGGGTTGGTTGGCACTGGGTTAATTTCTGGTTCATAAATAAATATAAGACCAGCTCATTTGTATCCTGGAACAAATTGAGCTGCAGCAGTATATGTAAGACTAGCTAGCACACTAATAGTTGCCAGACAGCAACCCTAGCTCCTTTAATGACACAAAACCTTTTTAAATGCACTTGTTGCACACGCATGTCATCGTGTTAATATAATACTTGAACTACTTGCGTACTTGCCTTTTCAGCAGCCCATTAAAAGCACCAGAAGCTCCAACAACAGCTGCAGTTTGCTGTCGCCCATGCTGTGCTGAGCGCATATGCACAGCTGAGATAGTTGTTACCGATTATAGAGCCTGGCCTACCAAAAACATGGCATTGCTTTCAGATTTTCCAGAAAATGAACAATTAGTGTAAGAGTAAATTGCATTTATCCCTCCAAGAGACTTTAAAATGCCATTCCTCTTTAAATAGAAATAATGGCAATGTGCCAGCCTTGCACAGTCCCATTACATAAATCATTATATAAGATATGTTCTAGATTTATATTTATAATTTATTTAAGAATACTAATTGAAATTATCATTATATTAAGGACACATGACTGTATTAAAAGATTTATTAATTAATACCATATTTATTTTAATAATTGTTTAGATTTAGCATTGGTTTAAAATCCTGGATAGCACAAAGGGCAGTGGAAATGTCACTGGCAGAAAAAAAAAACATGATGGAGAGGGATCAAGTCAACTTCTGACACAACATAGAAAGGGAACCTGGATGGATAGAATGACTTTGAGAAAGACATTTGGACTGGCTCAGAGTGTGAAAAGAACAAGGTGGTTGAGGTGAACTCCAGTTCAAAGCGTGAGAGTTGCCAGTGAAAGTTGCCAGTGTTTCTGTTTAGTATGTATACACACATACTTACAGGTATATACTGTACACACTGATCAATCACAACATTAAAACCACCTGCCTAATATTGTGGAGATCCCCCCCGTGCTGCCAAAACAGCTCAGATGAACTGAAGCATGAACTCCACAAGACCTCTAAACCTGTCATCTGGTATCTGACACCAAGACTTTAATAGCAGATCTTGCAAGTTGCATGGTGAAGTCTCCATGGATTGGATTTGTTGGTCAAGTACATCCCATAGATTCTCAGTCGGATTGACATCTGAGGAATTTGGAGGATGGAGGATGTTCATCATACTGTTTCTGAACAATTATTACTGTGTATCAGGATGAAGTGTCCTGCTGGAAGAGGCCATTTGCAATCAGGGAACTCTACTGCCATGAAGGTCTGTAACTCTAGGTAGGTATGTGTTAATATAACATCCACATGAATGCCAGGACCGAAAGTTTCCCAGCATATCATCTACTGCTATAACACTACATCCACCAAAATGCTTTCTTCCCCTAGTGCATCCCTGGCCATTTCTTGCCCAGGTAAACAATGCATACACATACAACCATCCTCCTGATCAACAAAAATGAGACTTATCAGACCCAGCAATTTTCTTCCATTGCTCCATGGTCCAGGTCTTATGCTCACGTGTCCGTTGACGGCACTTTCAGTGGTGGACAGAAGTCATCATGGGCATTCTGACCAGTCTGCGGCTACGCAACCCCATACATCAACTGGGATGCACTGTGCATTCTTTCAGTAATTTGAGTATATATATTATTTTTAACTGTTCCATCATTCTTTTAAAAAGTCATTCTGTTTCATCAGCAGTTATTCTGCTCGTAAGTACGGTTTATGGTTCCATTAATACATGAACTCTCTTAATACATTGGTTTGGAATCACGATAATGCTAGTAAATGCTCTCTAATATAACCATTCATAAGTTTTATAGTCTCTCTGGAAGATTCAGTTCATACAAAAAAAAAAGTCACCATCACGCTTTACATGTTACCCTTGGGAGATATTATCAGGAAACACGGTGTTAGCTTTCACTGTTATGCTGATGATACTCAGCTCTATATTTCTTTGCAGCCCGGCGAAACATACCAATTTGAAAAACTAGTGGAATGCATAGTCGATATAAAAAACTGGATGATGAGTAATTTCTTACTGCTAAATTCTGAAAAAACAGAGGTGTTAATTATAGGACCTAAAAACTCTGCATATAATAACCTAGAACACTCCCTAAGACTTGATGGCTGCTCTGTCAATTCTTCGTCATCAGTTAGGTGTGCTATTTGATAGCAATCTTTCGTTAGAAAGCCACGTTTCTAGCATTTGTAAAACTGCATTTTTCCATCTCAAAAATATATCTTAAATTACGACCTATTCTCTCAATGTCAAATGCAGAAATGTTAATCCATGCGTTTGCACAATGTGACTTTGCTGCTGCCTGAAATTGAACTGATGATTTCGTCTGGTCAGAGGAGAACTGGCCCCCCGACTGAGCCTGGTTTCTCCCAAGGTTTTTTCTCCATTCTGTCACCAATGGAGTTTTGGTTCCTTGCCGCTGTCGCCTCTGGCTTGCTTAGTTGGGGACACTTCATTTCCAGTGATATCGTTGACTTGATTGCAAAGATACTATTTAAACTGAACTGAGCTGGATGATGACATCACTGAATTCAATGATGAACTGCCTTTAACTGAAAATGTAGTGTTTACTATTGTCACTTTTGCATTATTGACACAATATTTTCCTAATTAATGCTGTACAGTTGCTTTGACACAATCGGTATTGTTAAAAGTGCTATATAAATAAAGGTGACTTGACTTGACCATCAACTTGTTTGTCCTGTGAGCAATATTTAAATGCATGTTTTTCATTCATTTTATTTAGGCTATGTCACATGTCCAGTACTCTGAATCATCCTAAAACAAAAACAGCAGCGCAAGAATGCTCAACGCTGTTACTAAATATTTCTCAGTTCATTTTGTTTTATTCAAATACAGAGGAACACACTGATTATTCAGTCAGTAAGTTTTATAGCTTAACTCAATAATTAAAATATTATCTTTATACACATGCTGTATGTTATACAGTACAGAAATGATGAGAAAGACTTTTAAAACATTATGTAAATGTGATCAAATGTTTCATGGATTTAATATACAAGCAACACTGTATCAACTAAGACTTAAAGGGTTCACCCAAAAATAAAAATTCTCTCATCACCTCAAGTCATTCCAAACTTGCATGAATTGTTAAATACACATATATATATATATATATATATATATATATATATATACAGTGGTGGCCAAAATTGTTAGAACACCTGACAGATCTGAACGTATTGACCTTTTTTTGCCACTAAAACATGATTTAATTTCATAATGTTCATGAAACATGCAGATGGTTGCTCTGAGCTCAACAAATATCAGATGAAGTGAGTCATACTGTTTTTATCCACTTTTAACTTTAATATTTGATATGTCTACATTTTGTAGCAGTTACAGCAGCACATCTCTCTGGCATAGTGTCAATATATTTCCTGAAAACTTCAACACTAATGTGATCCCATGCCTTTTGCAATTTATCTGTCCAGTTTATTTTCCAACTCGCCCCAAATTTGCTTGATGGGGTTGAGGTCCGAACTTTGAGGGGGCCAGTCCATCATTTTCAATGTTCCAGCAGATTCCGGCAATAGTTCGTTTTATGGGTATTGTAATGGCCAATTCAACAAAAACAACTGAAACCTCTTAAATATGGCAAGTGTTCTAATAATTTTGTCCACCGTTGTGTGTATATATATATATATATCTCGCAGCACCCTGTAATTAATTAGATTAAAATTTTTAATCGACTGACAGCCCTAATATATATATTAGGGCTGTCAGTCGATTAAAAATTGTAATATACTAAAAGCTAAATTTGGCTGTGAAAATACCCACAAAAGATAATTTAAAGCTATTATTGTGTTAAATGTTTAAGCTACAGCTGCCTAACATAAACTATAGAACATAAAAGAAGATAATTTGAGAAACATCTCAGTATCTTTTTATTCATGAAAGTCACTGGTGACCAAACCAGCTTTGTTAAAGGGGTCATATGATGCGATTTCAAGTTTTCCTTTCTCTTTGGAGTGTTAGAAGCTGATTGTGCATAGATAAGATCCCTGAAGTTGCAAAGACTAAAGTCTCAAAACCAAAGAGATATTCTTTATCAAAGTTAAGACTCTGCCACGCCCCCCTAAAACGGCTTAACCGTGGCTTGTGTACTGCAAACATACCAGCTTCATCACTGTGTCTGTTACGCGACTCTGTTCCCCTTTCGGGCTCTGTCTTTACATTTATTTTGAAAGCTGAAGTGATTATGGTAAGGGGTGTTACATTTCCGACGAGTGCTTGTGGTGTTCGGCCAATCAAAATGCACTGGGTCAGCTGGCCAATCAGAGCAGACTGCACTTGTCGGAAGGAGGGACTTTGTAGAAAACAAAGCGTTTGAGAGAGGCGGGGGATAGAGGACCTACAATAATGTACAGTATTTGAAAAATAATGTGTTTTTTGAACATTAAAGCATGTCAACATTCTGTTACACCAAATACACAAAATAATGATCTTTAAAAAAGCATCATATGACCCCTTTAACAACAGTCTTCAAAATAGTCATTCAGGTTTGTAACAACATGAGGGTGAGTAAATGATGACAATGTATTTATTTATTTTTTGAGAACTATCCCTTTAATGTTTTTTTATTATTATTATTTTAAATAA